TCTGGAACTGTTAATTGTCTACTCTCAGCTGCTTGCTCAAAAGCTGCCAGCTCATCTAGAGCTCTGGTTTTCCTGGTCTCTACCTTGCCAAATTCTTCTCTGTTCCAGTTTGTTATATCCCTCTTCAACCTTTTCAATTTCTAAAGTAGTACAAAGTCCGCCCTGCCCACTATATTGTAGCTCTGCCACCAATATTCTAGCTTCTCTAGAAACCCTTCTGATTGAAGCCACATGTTTTCAAACTTGAAGTATGAAGGGCTAACATCCCAGTCTCCGCATTCAAGTAGAATAGGTTTGTGATCAGAGATTACTTTTGGGAGAGATGATTGTTTTACATCCTTGAATAAGTCACTCCACTCGGTGGAGATGAGAAATCTATCAATTCTAGATGCTTGCACAATATTATCACCCCTAGACCATGTAAATTGAGCCCCTTGTAATGGCAAATCAATCAGGTTAAGGTCTTGAATGGTGTCTGAGAAGGATCTCATGGCACTAGTCCTTCTCAAGCAATTTAATTTCTCGCTTTCAAATCTGCACACATTGAAATCAGCCCCTAATACCCAATGTCCATCCCATAACCCCCGAAGGCCCGAACTCCAGCAATTTCATGCCACATCTCTTCCCTTTCCGAATCTGTGTGAGGTCCATAGATACCTGTAAAACACCATCTGAACTCCTCTTGAATGCTCTCTAGCATACAAGATATGGAATAAGAGCCTTGGAGAGTGTCTGTTTTGACCCACTGCCTCTTGTCCCAAATTATTATTATTCCACCCCTAGTACCACTTGCTTCTAAAGTTGCCCAGTCAGCCCACCTATTACCCCATATTTGTTGTATCCATGTAGTAGACCAATTCTCTACTTTTGTTTCTTGCAAACACAAAACATCGACTTTCCATTTTTGAATGAGAGATTTGATGGGGCTCCTCTTGCTACTCTCATTTACCCCCCTTACGTTCCAGCTTGGGATTTTTAGTTTCATCCAGAACAGGAGTTGTATTGCCTACCCCCAGTTCCATTGTTCTGTTGCCCCTTTTTGTCATAATTGATCCCACATATCAATCTTTTTATCTCCCCTTCTCCTTTGGCCTTCTTCTCTTTTCCAGGTTGTTGCTTGGGTTCTTGTTGTTGGATTTGGAACTGCCTCCTTTGCTCCATCCTTAGAATAATATCTAGAAGTTCATGTTCGAACCCAGTTGCGTTGACCCCGAAAGCTTTGCATGCCTTGACCATTTTAATTCTAGTCCACTTTGAAGTCTCAATTAGATTGGGCTTTTGAATTAACTGAGCTTCAGACCCACCTTCGTACCATGTTAAAGGGAGAGCTTCGCTGATCGAAATAGAGGAAAATTCCGAGTCTGATTGATTTGCGTGAGCCAAATCCAGTTTCAGAGTTGGATTGCGAAGAAGTAGAGGTTTCCTTCCATGAGAGTCTGCTTCGTCGTCTGCTTCTGATGGGCAGTTTGCACTGTTTTGACATGATTCTGTAATCAATGGAGCACTGACCATCGAACTTTGATGATGATCTTTTTCTGAAACCAACGACGGTATAGATAGGGCATTGAATCTGTTGTAATATGGGTTTGGCTTGTGGCCCACCACTTTCCAGATGGTCTTTTCTTTTAAAAGCTTTGACTCCTTTTGGGCTTTTTTAATTGGGCCTTTTTTGTAATAGGTTTTGTCTAAAGCTTGGCCCAATTGTACATTATTTCCCACAGGTGCAGCTGCCTTATGTTTATCCAGTGGACAATTTGATGGTCCAATTTTCAAATTAAAGCTGCTATCATGACCTCCCACGTGCCTCTGAGACGTGTCGACATCGGACTTTGAAAAAGTCGAGATTGCTGCTACGTCAGACGACTGGTTACTACTTTGTTTAACCTCCTTACCACCGATGGGTTTTCCGGTCGATCTTATGCTAGCATGGCTGTCTTCGCAAATCAAAATTTCGAAGACCCAATCTCCTTTTGACGATGTCTATCTTTGCTGGCAGTTCATTCGTGGATTTTCGAATGCAAATACGAGCCCAATATAAGTGTCCTATGCTTCGTGTCTTCATCGGTGTCTACGAATCCACCACATTTATCACCAATGAATTTGAATGTTTCTGGAGTCCATGCATGAAGGGGGATGCCCAGTGCTTTGACCCACTTCTGTTCTGTACTTGGGTCTCTCATCTTAGTCCCCGACACAGGAGACCACCATTCCAATGAAAGCTTTCTGCCATTCCAGAACCATACTCCGGCTTTGACCCTTTCCGCCTCTCGTCTGGAAGGAAGATCAAATAGGAATAGGTTGTGGTTAATAGGTGTGACTTTTAGGCCAGCAGTGACTTGCCATCTTGATACAAACCATTTTTGTATTACTTCCGACTTGGGGCTATGGTGGAAAGGGTCATTGAACCGCCCAACAAGACATTTTGAGAGGAAGTGTTCATTGCCGAGTTCCTTCATTGATGGATCAAACCCTCCTGCCCCCCGGATGGTGTTAGACCTTGCATCTGCTGGCCATTGCGGGATCCTTGCAGCATCAATATATGACCTAGACTGATCTGTGAACAGACTAAATCTTGAATTGATCCCCTTGCCCAGAAAACCTTGTATCTTTGTTGCTATATTACTCCATCCCCTATTGTAGCTTCCTTCTGGAATAATGACTGCTGATTTCGTGTCGCCAAGGATTGCTTCTATTCTGACGAATCTCCCATAGTTGTTGAAATTTTGGAACACCCTAAAGGTGTATGTCTGGACCTTTCTTCCCCATCTTCTGCATTTGTTACCTGTACCAAGTGAAGCCTGATGCAGCGCTTCACAAACCCAATATAAATTACAATCATCGATTTTGATGCTACTGTTGAACCGCCTGCTGCTTTCTGTAAGGACGAACCATCTACCTGGCCCTCTGCTAGAGCTAAATAATTCAAAAGACTTATCCCCCGAAAAAAAAAAGAGTTTTTGATCCATGATTGTTAAGAGGAAGAGTCATTGTCTGAAACTTTCACGCCGGTGAGAGGAAGTGAGGAAACAAGAAGAGAGAAGATTTTGGCACATTCCCCAAGAGAGAGCATTTTTCCTCTACAGAAGAATTAGGCAGAATTATTAAATCCCATTCCAAAGAAAATGACCTCAAAAAAT